TGATTGAAAAGATATAAAATGCTCTAGTTTCAAAATTAAGATATTAATTAAGATATAAATTAAGATATTAAGATATTAATTAAATAACCTGGTTCTCTTCTAAAGTTTCAATCAGTTCCTCACTGGCTCTTATTAAAGTTGCTCCCGTGCGAGTGTGAACTTCCCGCTCAAATTCCATTTTCGACCACGTAATATTCAACTCTTTCATATATTTCTCCATGGACATTTCCTTAACCGCTTTATCTACGATATTCTTAACTTCTTCTTCACATTCATGGAGATTCAATTCGAGTAAATCGGCTAGAGTCGTCGATTCGTCCATTACGAAACGGACCTATATTAAATAAAAAGATCGCCTAATTATGAAATTACATTTTCTCGATAACAAGTTGCTGTGTTGGTTGAGTGATTTAGTTTAATTCAAATAATAATCTAGAGTGACGTAGGAAATTGCTAAATGATGTAAAATATGTGTGATGTTCTGTATTTATAGCAAATTTATTAAAAGATCGTACAGTGATTTATACAATGAACGAAGAATGAGGAACTTACATTATAAAATAATGGTGGTGAACTATATAAATATAATATTATTTCTAGCATTTAACGCTAAATTGATGGTGATTATTTCTTAATCTTTATCATTTAATTGATGCGAAATTTATATCATAATTTTAGCATTAAATGGACATATGTAACGTTTAATAAGCCAGTAAATGTCTTGCGAATAATAAAATCCTAAATTAAGTTTACATTAATTAGCGTGTCGCATGCTGTATTATAGCCATGCCTACAAAATATTTTATAATGTATAATGTAAAAGTCGAATGTGATGTATAATAGTGCGCGATTATGAAGAACTATCGTGCCGAGATTGATTTTATTAAAATTTATAATTTTAGCTATTATATAAAAATTTAATAAGAATGCAGTTTAAAAGTAACGTCACACGTGATATGCGTATGTACAGCGGACTTACGGTCATTTCTGGAGTCATGTTGCCCAATTTCTGTAACACCGATAGCGTATATATACAGCGGTGCAACTAAGTCTAGTATGATTTGATGTGATACACATATTCGCATTAGGGAATTTTTATATACAATTTTGCAGAATTATTTCAGGCGGACAAAATGATTTCGTAATATCGACAAGAAATGTTAGAATGTAAAAGGATACGGATATAGAGCTCGGTATGAATATTATATCTCTTAGCTAATAATATTATCTTCTAATTTATATCATAGGGAAATGAATTAAACATTCGCTCTGCGAAGTCCAGCGATACCTTAGTACTATTCATCAGCTGTCGCCAGTGTCTTTCCCGTATAGCTGGATTTTGCAATTCCCCTACGGCACGCAGCGACGTAAGCATATTCTTTACCGTCGCTTCCAATGACACGTAAGTGTCCCATGGCCTCATTTCTTTGTCCAGCGCTGTTATGGATAAAATACACTTGAATGGGGAATTAAAATTGTATCACTCTTACTGAGAGAAATATTTTTGCATGATTTCGCAGATAATAAAATAAAATTATATTTTATGTAACGATAACTTAAGTTGCGGGAATGAAGAAGGGAGCGCGATGAATAGCAATATTTTACAACAGTATATTCAGGACGTAAAACTGCGCAATTCGAGAGAATCCTTTGGGACCGTGGACAATTTCTTAGCTACTAACCACGTATCTCCTTTGCGAACTTCTTGCACTCGATGTCCATATTCTCCACGTCGATTTTCCTCCAGGGTGTCGTCTTCCAGCCCTCGATACTACTCTGTACTATATTTACATAATCCCAGAGCTGCTTAAGCATCTTCAGCTCCCTCCTGCACTGTCTCAGCTGTTTAAATTCGGGTACTGTCACTTCAAATAACGAGGCGGATTCTTGTATATCCTTCATTTGGCGTTCCAGCATGAGAATCTCCTTGTGGGCCTCATCTAATAGCTCATACGGATTTTTGCAGTCATATTTAAAGAAAGCATATCGCCGAAATGCCTCTCGATACTGATTTATTGTAATATCGAATGCAGAGATTCGACCACGAATTCTTGATACCTCACCTATTTATTTTTATATATTCTTATTAAATTTTATAATTTGTACATTATAATTATAACATGATATGTTACAATAGTGTCAAAATTGAAAATTACGCATTTCCTTAAATTTTATTTTTAGAAAACAGAAATCAAGATAGGAATCAAGACGCGCTATTAATTTTAAGAATAAATATTCTTATCTATACATCTGTAATTAAATAAAATTAAATAAGTTGACAGATATATAATATCGTCAACTTAATAATGTTGATTACTTCTCACTACTTTTACGAACCTGCCTGCAATGGCGCAACTTGCTGCTTCACCATAAGAGCGAGTTTTTTCGTGTTTGCCCATTGCTCCGGCAACTCTTGCAACAGCACATTTACTTCTTCGGGTATATCTTGATCGTAAAATTTGAGCAACTCAATGGTTTCCTCTAATGGGTGAAACATCTCGTCTGTAGTTGGCTGACGTTCTTTCACTTGCAGTAGGTAGCCCATTACGCTTACCAGAGCAGCATAATCGCCTGGTTGTACTTGCTGTGATAATCCCTTGTCCGCTAATCTAAGAACCAAACATATAAGTTTTAAAAACAAATCATAATATAAACAAGTCATAATATTAATTAAAAATATTATATATATTTTTATAAAAATTAAGAAATAATGATTTATACAAGGAGCGGCATCTTATTTCAATTTTAAGGAATTATACAATATAAATTATATTGTATATTGTATTACTTTATGAAGAATACCTTATAAATGTTCCCAGATCAGAAAGGCTGCTCGTTACACGATCGACTAAATGTTTTTTAAACATATTTGACCATTTGCATACAGTGTTTAGGACTGATTGTCTGAAGGGTCTGAGATCTACTCTGAACCAACCGCAAAATACTTTAGACAGATCCATTTCCTCGATCTCGAGATAGAGGCCTTCGTAAAGGTCAATTTGTTCGCGGAATTGCTCCATTTTCGGCGGTGACTTCGTTGGACCTTTAGGGTCCTGAGCCGCTACCATGTCCATTTCTTCCACTGACAATTGTCGGCTATACTCGAGGAATTGTTGCATCACAACATCCCTATCATCCAGCCATAAATAGGCATAGCCTAATCAAACATTGGAACATTACATTGAGATTTAAAATAAAATATACTATACATATTTTACATTTTTAAATAAGAGAAACAAAATAACGTTTTCCATAATTTTCACTGCATTTTTTTGAATCTAATTTTATTTAATCTGTTATAATTTATAAATAATAAATGTTTAATTTATTATTTATATCGTATTGATTATATTTTATTATATAAAATTTTTAAATAAATAAATTTTTCTGAAAATGTTAAGAATTGAAAATTTAATTAAAATCCGAATTATTATTAATAATTATTATAGTGGTACCTTCAAAATTACTACAGAAATCAGTAGCCTCTTCTACAGCAGTAGCTACGCTTGTCAATATTTCATCTTTCATTCCTTTGATGTCTACATCACATGCTAATTCTTCAGCATATCCTACAGAATCACATTTTAATCGTGGTATCAAGGCAGCCATACCGGTAATATCATTTAACAAGCCAAGGATCAGTTGATCAAGTCCGTCTGGATCATCGGGTTCTAACGACGGAATGTAATATAAATCTGGATCCCTGAGTTCTAATTTTGCTTCAAGTAACGGCTCGCATTGACCGATTGGATCCATACTTTCTGCTAAATAGCCTAAATATGATGAAAAAATATTATTTTATTTTATTAAACTTTCGTAATCTCTATCACATGTTTATAAATTGATTAAAAAATTGATTAAAGAAAAAATATTAAGTTAAATTTCCTATGCCATAAAAAAATATGATCTTCTTTTTATTTTAAAATAAATATATATAAACCTAAGGAACATCCAACCGCTTTACGAAGAGACTCGAGCACAATGTCGTCAATATATTTCACATATTCTTGCCAAGCTTTCTGTTCGGTTTCATTAATTTGGAAGAGCATTTTATTTTCCTCTAATATCGAATGTATCTGCTCAGCGGCCTTTGTAATCTCCGCGTAACGTTTTGATACTTTTTCCGAGCGATCTTCCAAGGCCAGCAATGTCTCCTTACGACGGTCTTTCCGTTCTATGAGGGGCGTTTTCGTCCAGGGTTCCAAAATGTTTCTGATCTTTTCCACGTTCGATTGGGCGGACTTCATGCGCTTCCACAATCCCTCTACGAGATCACCCAACTCCGTTATATATTCCAGAAGCCCGTCTGATCTCCAGCACAGCTCATCTTCCCCGCGGGATATCAAGGAATCGATCCGTGCCAGTTCTAATTCGATTAGATCGAACTCAACTTGCTTGGTCGTTTTACGTATATTATTGTATGAGTCAACTGTACTAGCTAACATCGTGCGAAATTTTCTGAATGTCTCCGCACTTTCAGATACCTGACGAGGTACAGTATAAAATAAAAATAATTAATAACAAATTTGTGTAACATATAAATCTTTCTGAACACGAAGACATAATATTCATCCCAATTAGAATACGAGGCCACATCTTACCTTGATAGCTTCTTGAGGAATATCGGAACGTGACATTTGTTTTAAGTAGCTCACTTCTTTCAATACTGCAAGAAGATCGGGATCGAAATTTAATAATAAAACATCAGCTTCTCTACAAAGCAAATGACGATTAAGACCAACATCAACATTTTGCGGTACCATTTGTGCCCATTCAGTAAAAAGATCGTCTTCCTTGTCAGCAAATATTTTTATTAATCTTTCGTAACGTATTATTATATTTTTACCTTCGTCACTGTGCACGATACTGCAAATAGAAGACGCTGTAAATGTATTAGCTATAGAAGAGACAAATTTTATATAATTATATAATTTTTATTTATAAAAATGAAGTAATAATTGAGGAGATGGCTGGAATAAAGGCACAATTCTATTTAAGCTCTTTTTTCAGAGATTAGCGCAAATAAAGGAATTGATGTCGCTTATATTGATTATATATGAATAGTGTTTTGATTGTCCTAGGGTAATGAAAACGATATGATCTATGGAAAAAAGAAAATTTGTTGTATAATAAAAAATAGCAAGTTATTTTAATTTTTCTCAAAATCAAGATTTTATAATTAGGCTCTTATTCCATTTGTCCCCTCAATTTTATTTAAAGTAGTAAATTTAAATTTAAAGAAAAATTTTGATGTATTATGACACGTACGGATGCGGCATAGCTTTAAATGATTGTATAGGCAAGTTGATACGCTGGCGCAACATGCTGGTGAACGTCAAGGCAGTGGCCAAAGGTGGTAGATCAGTCAGAGCTCCTCTGGTACCGCGATTGAACAAAACTTCCACCACCGAAAGTTCCATATTCAAAAGCTCGAGAATTCGAGCGTATCGATTAGTGAATTGCTTTCGTATGACAGGACGCTCCAACACCGACCCGGCGATGTTTATTAACTAAAAAAAGAGAAATTTAGGCTATTGACGAAATTGTGTTTCGTAAGAAAAAGAAATGTATTGTAAATGTACGAACCTTGAAAACACTTTCGAGATTACCGCAATCGTCGAAAGCTTGGCACAGAATCGCTGCCAGTTTGCTGTCAAGATCGGTGATGGATTCGGCGAATTTGGTGCAATCGACAACGAAAGATTCATCGTCCGGCTCGAGAACGTCGCTGGCTCTCACGGTGAACGAAACGAAAAGCTGCTGAAATTCTTTGAATACGTTTATGATCCTCGCGCTCAAGGAACGTCCGAGAATGCCGCCTACTTCAATCTTCTCCAACTTGGAAAATTCAAGAACGGTATCGAAGAGCCACTCAATATCCGCGAGTCGCTTCAGAAAAGCGTCGAGACGAGTGAAGACGGCGGTCGAATTGAATATCCAAGGTGGAGCTTCCGGTTTTAAGCCTGGCATGTGCTTTCTTAGTTCAAACTGTCTTTTAAATTCTTCCAGAATTCCTGAGTAAAAAACACTTTTGAAATCTCTCGAATGAATAAAATAACAGATTAAAATATGCCATTGGAATTGTCATTTTGTTTAAGGTATTTAAGGTATTAAAAGCGTAATTTTTTAATAAATTTATCAAATTTTATCAATATAATTTATCTTATCTTAAATTTAAAATATTTTATTAATATTGTATTATTATACACATGTTATTTTACTTTATTGATAATATATTAATATTATTTATAAAATTTGACACTTGCAAGTTCTGGTACTTGTTATTGATGATTATTCATCATTTCTTTTTATATAAAAAGAAAATTAATAATAAAATAGTAATAAAATAATAGTATTAATAATAAAATAGTAATAAAATAATTTTTTTATTGCAAACTGATTTCTTAGCAAGAGCTAGCAAAAAATTTCAAATTAACATTACCTCTCGATATTTTAACGCGTTGGAGAGCTTCATCAACATCGCTTTGAAATATTGATGTCGGATCGAGAAATCGGCGTGCCTCTTGTATTAATAAGTTGCATATCTGTCGAAGCATGATGATGAGTTTACTGGAGCTTTGATAACTCTTGCATTTCGCCCATGCTAATCCGAGCGAATGTATCAGAACAGCCATCAGCGGTTTAGCTTCGGCGAAATCAATCTCTTCTACGGACTTGAAACACTTTGCCAAAGGCATTAGATACAAGGATATGTCCTTCGCTTCGGCCAACGAAGAGACAACATTGTCGAATAACGTGCGGAAACAAGGAAAATAAGCGCTATCAGTTTTCTCAAGAATCGTCGCCATCTTCTTCACACGGTCTTCTTGCAGTTGATCATAAATGTATCTGCAAAAGATGCGCGCGACAATAAATCTATTTATACCTATCAATATATTTATATTTTTATTAATAATGTAAAAAAAGAAAAAAATATACTGTTTTATAAAAATATAAAACACACACATATATATATATATATATATATATATATACACACACACACACACACACACACACACACACATTATATATGTATATATATTTATTATTCGATACCTTAAATTCGCCAATCTAGTAGACCAATAATCTAGCTCGACGTTGGGCGTCGGATTTTGTCCATTTTCAAATGCGACGCTAGATTCATGAGTAACGACGTCGTTTACTAAGTAAGCCCATTTTATCACCACTCCTTCTATAGCACTTTTCAAATACAGATCGGCCGCTTGTGATCCTTCCGTAGTGACCAATCTCTCAACTTCCGTCACTTTTTCGAGACCTGCTGGCATCGGTAGTACAGTTCGTCCGTTTACCTGTCCTTTCACCTAGACATTCAATAAATATTAAATATAATATTTATTTTTTTTAAAGATTTTATTTGAAAATATGAAATTTAAATACATTTAGTTATCAATTGCTTTATTACCTGATACAACGTTCCACGGAGAGCGTGCACGTGTTTACATATGTCGTGAATCGCTACTTCCGGCAAATCCTTGTGATTTTCTGGTTTAGTGAGAAGAGGAGCAAATATATTATCCACTAACGTAGCCAATTGGTCGACAACTCGATGGGATAGATCTCCCATGATTAACATGGCTGAACATCCTTCCTTGTCTTTTAATAATGGAGCTTGCTTTATTTTGATTGCATAAACTCCTACAACAATGATAAATAATTTTTTGAACAGCTTTTCGGTTTATTACATTAATATTATAAAATTTAATATAAATTTTCTCTATGATATGATACGCGATTTACAATGGATAAAAGTAACAGCACTAAGAAAAAAACCTTTTTTTTTACATATAACAATATATAATGTAATTAAACAAAAAAGTCTTAAAAATTTTGAAAAATTTTTAGAAGTCGTTAATTATTATTAAAACGTTCCTAATTATTTAATTTCAATATAATAAATCGCAATTACGAAGAACTCACCTTTTGTTCTCTGGCATGGTATGGGAAAACTGGACGATGCCACTAATTGCGCATTCGGTGTTAAAACGACAAAAAGGGCGATCGGTAATGGCTTGTCCAGAAAATCCAACACCGCGTTCCGATATTCCTCTGTCAATAATAATCTTCCCCATTTTTCTGGCTTTAATTTCAAACTCTTCTGCACGAAACTGCTGATGTACTCAAGTCGAAAATCGGGTGGTGCTTCCGGAGTAGTCATTTCTATCCGCAATATTAAAAGACATTTGTTTGTGTCTTTTTCTATTTAAAAATTATAATGTAGATTCTTTTCTAGACTAGAATAATATCTGCTTAGGAATAAATAAGTCTTGCTCATACAAATATCCATATGTCTATTTGCTGATTATATTTATTCGATTACAATTAGAATAAATTAGAATACTGAATAGATATACTGATTAAATTTTTTTTTAGACTCGGTAGATTAATAACGATCTCTCAATGGCGCGACAGCAAAGTTCGAAGAACCGAATGACCGAACTACTTCGCGTCAAGAATTCAAGCGATGCTTTTCGCGAGTTCAGGGGGAAGAGTGAGATCGTAAAGAACGCGAAATTTTGCTGACGTGGAATATCAATGCTCGTTAAATGGCTGTCGTGCAAGCGGGTCAGGAAACCAGGTACGGATTGAACCAGAGAAAAGCAGTGTGGTATTGGACGATCGTGTCTCTCCCGAGTTGGAACCTCGCTCGCCCGTTGGCCCCCAATTGTCACGGAACGCACGTAATATGCTGAAAACAACTGACATTGCACGCGATATTCTCCTTCCGCGCAGCGGCAGGTACGATCTCATTCCTTCTGCGAAATTTCCTTAAGCTCGCGCAGCTAAGTCTTCCGGTCGCTAGCGTGACGTTATGGTTCCTTCTACTTGCGGCGACGTGAATTTTCATCATCGTTTGCTACATTCGTAAGTTTCCCATTGCATTTCGCAAATACTATAGCGAAATAAAATTTGCATTTTTAGTTTGAAATCTTAGTTGGTAAACGATTTATTATCAGACGAGTATTTAAAGTTTGTTTTTTGGATATTTACGTTGCTCTAAATATTATATAATTAAAATATTATTTGAGTTTAAATTATAATGTAACGTAAGATTTTCATATGTATGTTGCAGAAGAAAAATTAATTGTGATATGGATAATTTAAATTATCTATATTACAAGAGAAGTTTATTCTTCTAAAGAAAAGATACATATTCTATGAAGATTGTAATGAAAGTGCGAAGTAGTACGATTGTAGTGGAAGTGACAAGAAGAATTAGGAATAAAGTTACATTTTCTGAAATTACTTTTCAAAGTTAGTCTCATTTTCTTCCACAAAGTGGAACGTGAATTAGACGTGAAGTGGACGTAAATTTTAATCGATATCATAAATTTAAAGTGCACATCACGAAAAGTTCTACTTAATGCAAAATACCACCGTTTGAAGTGTCACTCTGTGCCGTGCACCATTTTATAGAGAAAAAGACAGATTAAATATCTCAATCAATTAATAGTAAAAATTGCATGTCAGAGAAAAGAATAAATTTCTCTCTACAAAGCACATTTAATTATTTTCTCTCTTTCTCTCTCTCTCTCTCTCTCTCTCTCTC